CTACAAATGGCAGAAGCAAGAATGCAAGAGCTGACCTCGGCGATGGCCGTTTTGGAAAGGAGGCAGCGGCTGCAATGACAGCAGTAGAAGCGCAACAACAGCGTCTAACACTGCAGCGCTTGATCTCTATGGTAAGTGTCACTTCACTACATCTTTACTTGATGATACTAGTTTTGTTGCATGCACAGATTGAAGCAGAACGCAACTATCACATACGTCTGGCGGAGATACTTGATCAGCTTTACGCACAGGTTTTTATACAGTATCTTACCAGGACAGCAGATTAATTCTGTGAGAACGTTCCGAAATTGTTACAGATGGTTTTGGAGCGTCAACGTAGCGAAGCACTGCCGCTCACAGCGGACAACTATACTCCTTCGTACGATGATAACAAGCCAAACGGAACCTTTTCGAGCAGCGGCATTGGAAACGCATTGGAAAAATCCATGTATTTCCTGGCCGAGGTGTTGCATCCCTTTGACGCGGAAGGAGAGAACGAACTAACGCTCAACCTGGGAGACTACGTTGTTGTCCGGCAGGTGGGTGACGAGCCAAAGTCATTGAATGAATGAACGTTTTTCTTTTGCAGGTTTCTACCACTGGCTGGTCAGAAGGAGAATGTAAAGGCAAAGCGGGATGGTTTCCATCTACGTATGTGGAGCGCAGGCAGCGTGTTCCTGCTAGCAAAGTTACAGAAACTGGCTCCATGTAAAAGTAAGGTACTTTCAATAAAGCATTTTCTTTTTGTGTCAACGGAGGCCAGTTTATCGACTCTTTCTTTTGGTGCGGAGCTGGGCCATTCGGAGGTTTGTTTCCTCATTCTTTTTCTTTTTTTAATTTGCACCGTGAAACTTCTTGCAGGAGGGAGCCAGCTGACAAATAGAAACAAGGAGTAAAGCCATTTCTACGAACATCCATTCGTACCTCGCAAGCCCGGAGATGATCGTCATCGTGTGTGGAAGGACCTTGTCACTCTTCGCGCCTGAGCATCAAAAGCATATCAGACACCAAACACAAATCAGTCTACCTTGAAGGTCAGTATAAACTTCCTTTCGATGTCCTCTCTCCGGCAAAACTGATGGTCGCTTAAAACAGACATGGGAATCCATATAGAGACATGGCATTGCGAGAGCTTTGGAACACTTCTCGCTCGGCTTCTTTGGCGCTGGCATCCCGTGCTGCTTTGTCCGCATTTAACCAGTAAGGTGGCTCTATCCGAATTGGTGCAGTCGAACAGACCTGGCGAAAAATCGAGAGTGTGGAACAAGTAAACGAATTAGCACCAAACCTGGGGGCACTGTTCAGAGGGAACCCAGAGATCTGACATCTCGGGCTTCTTGAAATTCAAAGACGATACACGCTCCCTTCTGTGTTTCCTTGGAACTCTCGGATGGCTACTTCCAGGAGAGAGACAAGTTCTCACTACATGCAAAGCAGAACTTCGTACCTTGGAGATGAACCATCTGATATCTTGCACAGGTCCTTGTACCTCTCGGCGAGCTTTGCATCGGAACAATGCCCGTGATCGTGATCGTGGTGGTATTGGTGCTGGTGGAGCTGCTGCTGCTGCTGCTGCTGCTCGAGCACGGCTCTCGGATCAAACTTCTCCCGCTTGGCTTCCTCCAGCCTCTCCATCAAACGGGCCGTGGAGTTGAGTGACGGGGTGGCAAGGTCCAGCTCTGGAGGACTTGGAACAGATCTGCCGTGGCTGTGGCTGTGGTCATGGCTGCGGTCATGGCTGCGATGGCTCTGACAACTATGCGGCCTTGGCAAAACCGACGAGCACTTCGGAGCCCAGCCACCTTTAAATTCCGGATTCAATCTACTGGAGCGCAGCGGGCGCTCCCGGCGTGGCTGCGGAGCTTGTTGCTTGCTCGCCTTGGACAAAGTCACAACAGGCAGGACGGTAAACCGGGCCTTGGCCGCGGCGTTGTTCATGGCAGCGGCTCGGTTGAGAAACTCCGACTTGGCTGGGCCGAGGCCGAACCGCATAGGTGGCTTTCTTCCCGGGGGCCCGGTTAGCAGCGTCGTTGTCGGCAGCCTCTTGCGAACCGGCCCCTCGACGTGGAGCTCCCTCTCTACGCCGGCTTGGATGGAAAGGTGGCTCTTGTCCTTTCGACCGCAGCAGCTACAGTCCATGATCCGGTGCTCGGAGCACGCACCGTCGGAGCTCTTGTCGGTGGCAGTGTCCGGGGAGGCGGAGGCAGCGGCGGCGTTCTTCATGTGCTTGGAGGAGCTCTGGTCGCGCGGCATTGCTTGAGTAGCGCTGCGAGGAGTTGGGATGGCGGACCGGATGTTTGGAGGTCCCGGCATGGCGGAAGGAGACTCTGTCTTCTTTGGAGAAGTAGCGGCGGCGGGGACGACCTTGGGGGATTTCTTGGGCGAGGAGGACGTCGCGGCTCGAGGGAGTAGCGGCGAGCTGGTTGAAGATGGCGACGAGGTGGCGCTGGTGATCCTGGCGAGCGGTGGGACGGCGGGACTGGAGGAGGAATTGGATTTGAAGTGGCTGGAAAAGTCGGCCTTCCATCCCCCGCCGCTGCTACACACCGAGACCGCCGAGTCATTGCCGCCATCGCCGCCGCCTTGGCTCTCGTGTTCTTCCTCCTCCCGCGAGAAAAGATTGGCGAGAGCCACCTCGTCTGGATCGTTGGCGGCCTTCCATGTCCATCCGGGTTCCTTGCTGCCATCGCATTCTTCTCTTCCAGTGGCGGCATTTCTTGGGGAAGAAGATGGCGATGGCGAGGAGGAAGGGCAGCAAATGGGGAGGAAGCGCGAACACACCTTGCCCGGAGAATCCTCGCAAGCAAAGAGCTCGCGCCTGTGATCGCCCCACGACACGCGCCGGATCGCGGCGGGGAGGATCGCTCCCGCCTCCTCGCAAGCCCTAATCCTCTGCACGCCCAGCAATTGACCTAATCGCGGCAGCGAGCTCTCCACGCTCCCAGGCTGGGGGAGAGATCCATCGCTGAACGCGCCCCCGAGCTCTTCCCTCTCCCACATTGCCAGTGGAGCTGCGAGCCGCGTGGGAGATTCCGGTGGCGGCGATGGAGCTAGCGGCAACAGCAGCGGCGATGGCGGCGGCGATGGGAAGCGCGTGCGCAGCCTTGTGAGTGGGCGGGGCAGGAGCTCCTCCGACGAGGAGCAAGGACGCTCCTCCATCGCCGCCCTTCTTCCCTCCCAAAAATTCTTTTAATTTGCTTTCATTAGGTCAGGAATGGCCGTTAAGGTTCCACAGGTCGCGGGCTCGAATCCCGAGGGCGTGACCGACAAAAGAGCGAACCAAGAACACAGGAGAAAGAACGAATGCGTGAATTCGTTCTCTCGTCTCTTTTGTTTGCGGGGCGTTCAAGTGGATGTAGATCAAAAGAGCCTCTACACCAAAGCGATTCCCGCAATGCCTGACGCGGTCGATTTTGCCCCTTTCTTTCTCTTCCCATGAATCCGCAGCGCAGCAATTCATCCTTGGCTGGCCGCGGCATTGCTGAGGGGCAACTCTAGGATCTACCAAGACCCTCTACGCGAGAAGAAAGATCTAGAGACGACTGAAAGCAAGACTCGCAAGAACAGGGCGGCGCAATGAAGCAAACAAGACGACAACCCAATCTTCTAGTTTTAAAAGCCCTGGGGGTCAGGTTGAAAGCCCAGAGGAGACTGAATTTTTGGGGAGTCATTTTTTACTCCTGCATGCACATACGGTAAAGTAATGATAGAGTAATGATCGAATATTTTGTACATGGTGATGGATACTATACTTTGCTCATTGTTTTAGACTAATTGTCAATGCACAAGAGTTTTACTGTTTTTGTTTTTACGTGTTTTCCTTTGACGCCAAGAAGCATAAGATTCGAACCCAGGACCTCAGGGTGCCTTGTCTCTCTATCCTGCTAGGTTACGTGCAGAACAAGAAAACGGCTTGCTTTGCTCCTTATAAACGTGTAAGAAGAACAATTACTTTCTTTGTCGGTGGTGCTCTTGATGATCCTCGAATTAACAAATGTTTCCTCGAATCCAAGAGCCTTTCTCAAGAACAGTGCAAGATGCATGGGAGGATCCTGCCTCCCAGGCCCGCGAATCACCCGATGGAGTGAGGAACCTCCCTGGTGTAAACATCAAAACTCAGTGGTGACAATGCACTTATAATGAACTTGTTGAACAGTTATCATAGTCATGAACGAATTTGGAGAATTTGAAATCATCGCTGGCAGTCTCATTCCTAGGAGCTCCACCTGACAAGAACCGAGCACTGTGGTCCGAGATGAGGCAACTGGCTGCTGCCACTACCGCTGCGAAGCAATGCTGGATCTGCTGCTCAAACCAGGCGGAGGCGGCGGCGCTGCGGCCCAGCCGACGGGAAGAAGGTGGCGCAGTGCTTTTTGGAGGCGAGCGCCAGCAGGCATGTCACAGCGGCGGCCATAGCAGTCAGAGCTGCGCCGCCCTTGCCGCCGGCTCCATGGTCCACAAGGAGCGCCACCCATTGGATTCGGCTCCTGGGATGCATAAGCGATGAGAATCAGCAAGCGAACAAAGTCAACGTACATAAACCCAAAACATGGGCCGCAGCTTCAAGCCGATACTGGCTGTACTTTACGGATGATGCCAATGTTGGGCTTTAGTAAAGAAAACATGAAGAATATGAAGATGAAAGAGTGGGAGTAAATATGCAATGAGAATGAACTAGTCAGTATGTTTCCTTTACTTTAGACTGTGAACTGTGAACTTGAATTTTCCAAGCGTGGGACTAGTGGCAGCGGGTTCGGAAGGAGCAGGCTTGACATTTGTGGCACAAGCTGATTTTTGAAAAACACTTTTTGTAAACACTGAAAGTTTTCAAAACTTACCAATTGAAACATTCAAGTATCTGTGATGGTGTTTCGTCAAAACGTACGACGTCTGCAGGGAAATAGCAGATCACTAACAGCAAGTCCTAGATCCAGATCGCTAGGAAGTGGTTTTCTTCGCCCTGCTATTGTTTGGAAACCGCTGCTCGTGTATACCGCGATGCCTCCATGGCCTCGGTGGATCTGGGTTGCTTTCTAGTTCCATGCGCTGTACGAAGCCTGGGAGATCCAAGACCCTGCTTTGTTGATGTTCCCATGGCTCGGCTAGTGCTATCAGAAAGCCCTGGTATGAGGGAAGCTGCTGATGTTCCAAAAAAGTAGCTGTAGATCACGCGTCGGGGCTCCGGCGCTCTTCGAGGAAAAGGACAATACCACCTTGTTTCTTTGCCGCTAGCTTGGACAATGATCCTGAGCAGTGGGACGGGAAACCACAAATGCTATGTAAAAATTTGACTGCCTGAAAAGGAACAATTCTCACCCGTCTCCTCTGGACCACACAGAGCTCATGCATACAAGTTGTGAACGGCTAAATCCAGATTTCGGTGAGCTACATAAGGCTTTTTCTACCTACTTTTGTTTTGTTGAAGTACGGCGATTTCAGTCGATAATACGCTAGAATGTAACACAAAATAATTCTAGAGCCTCCTGACCAGCGGGATTCCCCAGTGGCGGCAAAGACCTCCACACTTGTGTCTAATTGGACTCTTTTGGCACCCGCAGGAAGAAGCTTGCGAACGACGCTGCCGTGGGGGCGATAGATTTCAGGATATGGTGGGAGCGAGGATGTGTTGGAGAAATTAGGACTTCCTTGATTTCCTGAAGTACCTCGAGGCTGGACTAGAGAGCAAATACGAGAAACTCACCAAGCGGCTGGGTGGCCATCTATGTTTGAGCTGGTGCCGAGGGCGTGGGAATATAATTCTCGAGGTTTGCAGTTTCCCCCGAGATGGAGTTTAAGTTGAAATCAGGCAAGTCGCTGGGTCACCACCCTATGACAGGTAACCATTCTTGTAGTATTTTCGTGCAGGTTCAAGAACATGAACATGCAGACTGACGCAATCAACGTGCATCAAATTGACAAGAGCGGGGGGCACGGAGAGAATCTCGTGCTGTGCCGTTTCACGAAGACAAGGAGTCGCACAGGGACGAGTGATCTTTTGGTCACCGAGTATGGGGACAGCAATAGAGTCGGTACTATGAGATTCTGTTCACAAGACAAATGGTGTCTTGTTTAATGTTTGAATGAGATTCTGTTCAAGCATGGCGTGCCTGAGCTCTATGAAAATTTGGAGGATGACGACACCCTTGACAAGCTGTCAAGGGCGATCATCAACGAGGCATAAGAAGCTTATGAACCGAGCCACAGGCAAGACATAAGACATAGTTGTGTTTGTGTCGTTCGAATTGAATCAATACATGTATGAAAAGCGTCATTCGAATGGACTCCGAAACGTTATCTTTCAAGAGTTGGAGCACAATGGCCTTTAAACCATCGAGGAAGCTAAATCCCACAGCGTTGAGAGAGATGACACTATCTGAAGCAGCTTTCCTCATACAACCATGAGTGTCAGTCCAGCTCTTGGTTCGTTGCTTCGTCACGAACTTCACGCCCCGCATTCTCTAAAGCACTGGATTCTCACAGCCTCTGCATCTTGCACTGGAATGGCGTCCAACTCACACAAATATGATCATGACATTTGCATGAGCAAAAAAATTCTGAATTTAGCAAAACGTAAATAAATTATAATCCAATCTTATATTACAATCTGGAGCTGGTCCATCGTAGGTGACGTCGATGTTTTTTCTTGGTCTCTTGTTCTTCCTATAACATTTTGGAGAAAAAAACTCTATTCCTGATTTTGTAATTTCTATTGTTTTTACTCAAAACTCATGGTATAAAGTTTGGAGGTACGTGATAAAGTGGCTAGGTGGTGTGGAAGATGCGCAATGTGCAAGTGGATATGGAGGATGACGACAAATGTAATAGCTAGTGCTTGAGAATTTGTGAGGCAAGCTGGGTCTCTCTCTCTTTTTTAGGTCACAAAGCAAGCCTTGTGATGGAGTGTGCTTCACCCTTCTGTTTATTTATTAACAGTGATCTTTAGAAGTGTAGGACAACACAAAAAGAAAACTAAGGGCCATGCCTTCATAAACGAATGAGAAAAACTTACTTGTGTTGAGCGTGATGTTGATGACCTCCCTCCTGGGCCCAAACATCTGCGTGACTCTCCGCTGGTCCACTTGCTTCAAGCCACATCAGCAGTTCGATCAATCGGGAAGGCATCCCCTAGCATCTTTGGCTAAAGAAAATGTTCTACATATTATTGGCGGTGCCAATTTTGAATAGTCATTGATGATGGCGGGAAAAATATATTTTCGTGCAAGCTTAAGTGTCACACCAGGGGTGAGGAGGCAGTACTTTGCTTTGACAAGCAACCAGTGCCCGCTTCCACACCAACACAGCACTGATCCACACATTGCCAGCCCATGGGCTTGGCATTGATTGTTGACCCATCCAGTTTGTATATACTTATAAATGCTTTGTTGATCTTGAACAAAAATCTCATTCTAGGAAAGCAGGTTATTCAAAGCATGATGTGGCTCTATATACTCTTTGGAATTAAAAATGTTAACTGCAATTTTAATTTTTTTTGTGTTTTGAAGTACAAATTTTATAACTTCTCATTTGGGATTTACTTTTATTACACAGCCGGGAGTTCTTGTAGCGATTGCAAGTACTGTATCTAAGGCAGCTTTTGCTACCAGAATCTTGCGAGTCACAGCTTGAGTGCCTTTTAGGCAGGCTTCTAAATATCATCCTCATGGACGCATACCAGATCACAGTGGGCTGATGTTTCTATCTTGTTGTGTGTGATTGCAGCGCTCGAGCAAAGCAGTTTTATTTTTTGCATCATCCCCTCGTACATGTACGCACACATACTTTCGGGAGAGGCGGCTAACCAGGCCAACTTGGCCTTGATGCAAAGCGCCCAGACTCAGAGCTCTTCCACCCGGCGCTCACAGCCCTCAGTGTGACTGTCCGAGAGGCCGTTGTTCCTAGTGCTGCCATCAACACGGAGTTGGTAGCAAATGTTCCAGTCAGCAAATGATTCGTCCATTGCCTACTGCTCCAGAGGTTGCTTCCGCCAATGCCGTCACCATTAGAGAGGTGAGAAAGTTCATAGTTCCCTCGGTTTTCTTGCTTAAAGTTGCTTGAGCAGGCTTTAGAGGCCGCAGGGATGGGAGCAATCGACCAGCCGATTGAGCTCCAATGGGTGGCGCTCCTTGTGGACCATGCTATGGCCGCTGCTGTGACATGCCTGCTGGCGTTCGCCTCCAAAAAGCACTGCGCCACCTTCTTCCCGTCGGGTGGGCGCAGCGCCACCGCTTCCCCCTGGTTTGAGCTGCCAGCAAGCAGCAGTTGCCAAACACAAAACTCCTTCCACCCTTGTCGAGATTTCCGCAAAACCCTAGGGTCCAGCCCTAAATTTCTAACTTTGGCTGTTCCCATGTCGGCGCACGGCAAGCGCAGGAAGAAGAAGCTTGCGAACGGCGCTGCCGCCGTGGGGGCGATAGATTTCAGGGATATGGTGGAAGTGAGTTGTGGCAAGGATGTGTTGGAGAAAATGGAGCAGCAAAAGAAGCGTAGATTAGGCGAGCAGGACCTCCTTGATTTCGTGAAGTACCTTGAGGCTGGAGTACAGAGCAAATACGAGGAACACACCAAGCGGCTCTTTGCAGTTTCCCCCTGTTCGATCACCGAGATGGAGTTTAAGTTGAGGTTTGGACTAATCAGGCAATTCGCCGGGTCACCACCCTACGACAGGTAAGCATTCTCGGTTTTTGGTCGGGATCTGTAGTATTTTCGTGCAGTTTCAGGAACAAGAACATGAACATGCAGCCTGACGCAATCAAGCTCGTGGCAGCCTTGCATCAAATGGAAGTTTTGAACTCTTTCAAGGCAAAAGGGGATCCCAGAGCGGACAGGGGCACGGAGGATCTCGTGCTGTGCCGTTTCCGATACTTCACGAAGCCAAGGAGTCGCACAGGGACGAGTGATCTTTTGGTTGTCACCGATTATGGCGACCGCGATAGACCGGCTAGAGAAAGAGGTGATTTCAAGGTCTACGTTTTTAAGGATGGGAGTCAAGTGCTCCGCATGGTGGTCGATTGCAAGACTTCACCCCAGGCTCGGGATATTTTACAAGCTGCCATGCATGCTATACCTGAGGACGACAAGGAGCGATGCCCTGTTTACCTCATGCTGTGGTCGGGTGACGGCTGGTACCATGGGATTCTAGAGATTGACGGATTTGTGTACGTGAATAATGGAGCTCTTGTAGAGCCCTCCCTTAGCGGTAAGTGGGATTGTGATAAAACTACCATCTTCTTGCTTGCTTTTGCTTTTGCTTGGAACAGGCTTTCCGGATGCTATCCCCGCTGAACAGATGGATCCAAATGGTGATTTTGTTGCCAACTTCACGCCTAGTGCCACAAAAGCACAGATTCGAAACCGGTATGCTACGTGGAAGGTCGATATGGACGACCGAAAGCTCAATATCCCCGATGGCTATCATCCGGTGGGAAAGCTCTTCAGGATCTGGGAGGTTTGCTTTTCAATCTGTTGTTGCGATTGCTATGCTGGTGTGCTTTGTGCAGGCCCATGATTTCCCCATGTTTTCAGAGGATGCAAGCCTGACCGAAGGGAGTCGTCTCTTTTATGAAGGCTTCCTCAAGATCCTCGTCGGCCGAGAGGTTGCTTCTTGGGACCGTGACAAGGTCATCTCAACTGTTCTCGGTTTCGATTTTCCTTTAACGTGATGTGTGGTGTGCTACAGGTCCGGAGCAGGTGGCGCGAGAGGTATTTGGAGAAGGCAGAGCTCAAAGTTGCACATAAGCTTTGTGCTCGGGACGATTTGGTGACCCTTTGGTCGGAGCTGGCGGAGCAGATGGCTGCGAGCGAGGAACCACTCAATGATGACGGTGCCTTCGAATAAACATCAACAATCCCAATGCTTGATACTGATACTGGTTTTTGCTGTGCCAATGATTTGTAATATGTTGTTTTGAAAGTTATAAATGACCTTGGCAATCAAGGAATTGTGTATGAACACCTGAGTCTTAAATATGAATTTACGAGTACTTGCCCAGCAAATGCTGGGTGGTTTACAAAGAGGTGGACGCACCATAAATATATTTCTTACCTGAACTTAAGCACTTGTATGTATCTTTCTCATTTTCTTGGAAGTTTTTGGACCTGTTGTCCTTCAAGTTACTGGACAATAATGGCTTCTCTGGAGAAGTTCCTGATGAAATTGGAAACTTTTCCAAGCTGGCCATCATGTAAGTCATTGATGGCTAGAATACAATCTCGTGTAACAGTGTATTTTCAGGAGACTTGACAAAAATTGATTTGCTGGATCACTGCCGAGCAGTTTGGGGCAGATATCAACCCTCTTTGAAATGTAAATAGCTAATATAGTAACTACTTTGAACTCAAGTTTTGTTTCATTTCTCTTTGAAGTGTAAATAGCTAATATGGTAACTACTTTGCACTCAATTTTTGTTTCATTTACAGACACATCAATGATAACACTTTTACTGGAACATTACCTGATCTAAGCAGGTTGAAAGCTCTCCAACTAATGTAATATTTCTTCTTAACTTGGAGTTGACCTGATGCATGTGTGTATGCGTAACAGAAGCGTTGGAAACAACTCCTTTTCTCCTCAGCCAGTTCCATCATTTGGAGGCTTTGACTGAACTCCAGACAATGTAGGTGAATTTTGTTAGTTTAACATGACCATACTAAACAAATTTATCTTAGGATTGATTCTGGAATGCTGACTATAATGTCATACATCTATCCATGGGCTACCGCAACAAACTGATTGATGCCAGCTTTCCCATCCTTTCCCAACAGTTGCTACACATCATAGAATACAAAGATATTCAAACTTACGGTAGGAGCTTCGCCATGCTTGTGAAGTTTTGAAGTTTCTGAGCTGAATGTTCCTCCCCCTTGCAGGATTTGCAAACAGCGACACGGCCTGCTGTGGCGCTGGTGGCCCATACAGAGGTCTGATCTCATGCATCCCTTCTGTCTCGGTTTGCTCCAACAGGACGGAACATTTTTTCTGGGATCCATACCATACTTCGGAGGCCGCAAATTACGTGCTTGGAAAAGGAATCCTGGAAGGGGATCAGTCTGTAGTTGAGCCCATAAACGTTCGGCAGCTAGCTCGTTTGTAACTGAGCTCTGCTGGAAACTCCTCTTGCATTTTCAAACTGTACACAATCTGCTAGCAATTCATTTTAATTCTTGAATCATAAGATTACCTCGACTGTTTACTTCTTCTGTACAGACTCCTTCGCTTGTTTTATGAGTTGGTCGACAAAACTGTCTATAGTATTGTACCACTGACCCAAGGCCTCCTCTAATCGGGCCTTACCGTTCTCATTTGTCAGCGCGTTTCCGTCAACAGCGCAACCTGGAATTGCGGAAGTGGCCAAAGAGCTCGTGAGGCAGTGGCGAACAGGGATCGAGTTGGAGATGAGCCAATTTGCCTCTCACAGGAGCCCTCTTGCCTTCCCGGCCACGCGTGAGCCATGGAGCCCTAGGAGTGCATGGCATAACACTTGTCACCACGCCCTCTTGCCTTCCCGGCCATGCGTGCATCCCGCCCATTGGCCGCCACAACATTGAGCTGATATTCCCGCTAACCATGGCCACCGGCCCTGGCCCGAGCCTGGGCTGGCCTCCCCTTGCCGAGAACCATGGCTTCCGAGGCTGCCCCGGGCCTGGGATCGGACGGCTGCGGGGGTGTGGGTTCTTCGTTCTTATTATTATAGATAAGGTGAAAACTATAAGCTTTAATTAATAAGGATATACTTAGAATTACTTGGATATTCTAGGACATTCTATCATTTAATACTTATTATTCATTTAGACTAATCTTGTATTTATAATTTATACTAAGCATTTCCTAGTATATTCTAATTTATTTTACCATCTAATGGTTGATATTCAAAAATATTATACTTGTACTTATAAATTATAAACATGTTTATAATATAAACTTTCATTTGATCAATTGGATTAATAAATAGGAATAACAATACTATTAAGCAAACCAAGTGTTATTGCATGCAATGCACAAATTTTTTTTTAGTAGTATATAAAGAAAAAATAATTTTTTTTATGAAATATTGTTTTTTAAATATTACATTTATCATGATCATAAGTATTTAATGCCCACCAGATTAAATTTGGTGCTTCTGATTTATATATTACCATATTACAATCATTTTGTATTGTAAGAAAAGTGAATATAAAACAATTAATACAGAATTTATCATTAGACCACATTACTACATTATTTTCTGTATATAAAACAAGATGACCATCATTTTGTAAGATAAGAATACATAAACCAAAATATTCATTTATATTGTTAGATGTCCATAAAATATTTTTTCTAGAATAAAGAGAAACTTTACAATTTGATCTTACTAGTAAAACATTTTCTCTATTTGTAGAAACTATAAATTGACTTGTATAAAGTTTATTATTGCTAAATCCTGCACTCAAAGTTGTTAATGTTAAATCACAAATATATGATATTCCACTTAAGTCATTATCTTTAAATCTATTCTGAAATAAATTATTATCTCGCTGATGTGGAGTTAAAAATGCATTATATTCAAAATTATAGCTCTTTGATGTTATTCTACATTCTTCTGCACGTGCTTTTACTATAGCATTACGATTATGAGTATATATATGTCTTAGAGCATTTCTTAATGCACCTCCATTAGTTGTATTTCCTGACATTTTTCCTGATGAACATACAGGTGGATTACCTTCTAAACGCTGGAATAAGAAAACTACAGTTATTCTATTATATTCTACAATAAAAACATTTTGGTAGGTTGAAGAATATGGATAATTTCTTGATTTAATATGTGATAACAGATTTCTAAATCCTTCATCAATAACCATTCCAACTTCATTATCAGTTAAAAAGTGTTTATTTCCAAACTTTATATTAGATTTTTCTCCTAAAATTAAAATAAAATGTAGGAAAGTGAAAATTACTCTAAGAAACATTTTATCTCTGTAAATTAGTTTATAAGAAATTATTTATAAATAAACATAAATCTATCTTATTAATTTTTTTAATATATACTTAATTTTTTTTTTAGATATTTAGAACTTTAGAAGTAAAGTTATCCATGCTCCACCGCGTGATTCAGTGTAGGCTAAGTGTGACATATGTGGCAATAACATTAAATAAGAATAACTTCTAACACTAGGCAATATATAATAAGCAATTTGTAATGACAGTTTTTGAGGGGAGGTGTACATAGAGTGGGCATCTTGGCAAAAAATTATAAAAGCCTCCAAAATATATGAAAGAAAACAAAATGTATACTTAAACTGTTTTAACATATATGTGTGACTCAAATTAATATTTTGAACACAACTTTTTTTTATGCATGGGCATACATTGGTGCCTGCCATGTATGCATAACAAAGTCCTGGTTAGTGCCATATATGCAATTTTTTGTACTACGTAAATTTAACTCCATATTAGTAAGGTTTAAACTTAAGGCTTATAGATGTGATGTTTTCCAGCGTGAAATCTAGATTTTGAGTGCATTTTAGATGCCATGGGCTAAGTTTGCCATTATTGTGTATTTGGGGTTGTTTTGTTAGTGAGGGTAATGAAAAGCACTTTGCATAAAAAATCATTATAATGCCAAAAAATTTAACACGTGATTAAGAATTTGAGAAATTAATGGAGTTAATGGTTTATTATAGCTATAACAAAATCCACTTACTCGCAGTGTATTTGATCCATTTCAAATCCACTTGAGAATAAGCAATACAAGATAACATTAGAACTACTTCAAGCCATACAATCCAATAGTCCTATACTAAATTCTTAAAGCTATGTGATTGCTCTCAAGACATGCTAAAGCTTTGTTGCTAGAGAAAAAAACAAGATGGATGGAGGTTTTGTGAAGTTGGTAGCACTTGAGCAAGGCATGGCTTTGCACTGGTAGGTAGCTCAAAGCAAGAAAAACAATAGTGGGGACTTAGAATTTGCAAAAGTGTTGAGGCCTAACTACTAGGATGAAGAGCTTATATAGAGATTTGTTAATATGGACTAAAGAGCAACCAACATGCATAGTCAACTTCTATTGCAAAGTTGGAAGTGTAGTTTTGGCTCAATAGGCTTTCAACTCAATATTGTTGAAAGATCTTGTGACATAGATGGTAGTTATAGTTGAATATAGTTGCCAAAGAAATACTACCTCCATGTTTGAAAGCTTTCACAACATACAAGATCTCAACCTTCATCTCGATAGCTTTATATTCTTCTTGATCATTAGCTATATAAGGCTTATGAAGTAGGGGAAGGAATGCTTGTATGCAATGGAAGCGAAATATGGGATTTGTCATAGGTGTGAGCATTATTATAGAGTGATTGAGTTTTTGGGATGAGTAAAGGATTGGCCAAGAAATATTTTTAAATACCTAAAATCACATTTGCAACATTCTCCCTCCTTTAGGGAAGATCATCATTTTCATTGATTCATATCCAAGTTTAGCAAACCGTCAAGGAAACAACTCCAAAAATTAATAGAAGGCACATTTTGTGAGAAACACATTGACTTAAATGGCACTGTGGAAAGCACTCTTTTCTGCTTCTAAAAACATTAAGACTCAAACACCCTCCAACTGTTACCGACAAAGAAATAAGTAATAAAATTAGCCACCCTTGTTGCTTTGAGCACCACTCCATTTATGGAAGAATGATACAACCCTGCCCAAACAGAGAGAACTTGAGCATAAATCAAACTTATCTAGAAGATTTACACAACTATTATAAATTGGCAAATAAAATTATTTATATCAACCTGATAAAAAATTAATGAAAGAAACTTTTGATTGAAAGAAATGTATTACTTTATTGATTTGTAAGATTACAAAGGCTTACAAAAATATTTTTTATTACGAGTTTCATACTCCATGACAATCTCATAAGCATGGGTAAGATTATTTAGAGGCTCCCAAATAGATTCACATATTGGGTAATTATGCCACTTGACAAGCTATCCAAAATAGTTTGTTCACCATTAATGACCATTAGTGGGGGATGAATGGCCATATAGCATTTTGTAGTAGCATGACATGGTATTAGTAAATTGACATAAAACATATTTTGGATATGGGATAACTTATTTGGAAGATCCAACTTATAGGATATATTACCAATTTGGTTTAACATTTGATAGAGACTAATATCTCTTGGTGATAGACCCCTTAAAAGGTAAATTTCATAAGGATAACCACACTTGGTCCCCTATTTGATAGGTTACATCCTAACAATATTAATCCTTAACACATTAATATCTATCTTAAGCTTTGCCCATCACCTCATTTGCTCTAGACTAACTTTAGTGTAGTTGTTCTACATAAGTTAAGACTAACACTTTAGATATTAGTTTTGGGATAACAATTTGTTAAAGAAGCCCACAAGTATTCCCTTTTAGTGTCTCCCATGGAGAATACTCTATAGTGTAATTTCTATTGTGTCAAAATCCTTAGTTGTGTTAATCCACTATAAAATAGGACTGCAGATAATCAACATTTTTGCATTCGGTCTACCCATTTGTTTGAGGATGATAATCTATACTAAACTTCAACTTGGTATTATTACAAAAATTTCCCATAAATCTCAAATTTCTATCCAAAATCATCTCTTTAGAAAGTTCACAAACTTGTACTACTTCATGAAAGAACTTTGCCATTTACTTTGCATCACTATTTCCATAGTTGGAATGAATTGACAATTTTCAACAACCAATCCACAACAACCATCAAAGTGTTATAACCTTTAGACTTCGATAAACAAATGACAAGGTCAAGTGTCACACTCTAAAATAGTCATGTTTGGTATTGAAATACATTGTAACTTCCCAATCTGCTTCTTAGTTCTTCTCTTATATTTAGTAACTAGGGCAAGAACAAACAATCCATTTCATCACTTTCCATACCAAATTAAAAAAATCCCTTTTTCTTAATGAGGCAAGAGTCTTTTGTTTACTGACATGTCTAGTTGCTAGAACATCATGATGTTCCCACAAAAACAATTGTCATTGGTCCTTGGACAGAAGATACAATCTTTCTTGCTTATAATAAGCCCATCTTTAACTGAGAAGTGAAGCTTTGCATTGGTATGACTAGTAGCTTTCGTTGCTTGGCTACTAGGGTTTTGCTTCAATAACTTCACATAATGCAATATCACCTTTGTTAATAGACTAACTCTATGCGAAGCTTGAACATCCAACCAACCTTGCTGATATTGTCTAGAACTAAGTCTGACAACTCAACCCAGATTTATAGATGATTTCAATATTGAATCTAATGAGTTTCTCTTGCCAACGAGTCTGCTTCGGTTGCATTGCAAAATAACTTAGTGTGTTACTATCTATATAAATTTTTATATATCCACCCAAATAATGTTTTTAATGTTCCAATGCCAACACTATAGTAAACATCTCTTTCTCATGTGTAAGCTATCTTTATTTAGCTTTAT